AACTTAGGCCTGATGTTTTAGAGTTAAGACTAGCTTACGAATTATACCAAATGCATTTTACAGTATAATTATTTCATATTTTCGAATTTAATGCATATACCCTATGCCAAATGTATTCTGTATTTCTATTATATAAGTGACCTAAAATTGTACATATTATATTCATACAAATTATAGACACTGAAAATACTTGCAAGCAGATTATATTCAAAATTATTCAACCAAATTGTACATAATATAACATATTTATATAAATTGTATAAACAGATTTCAAAACATTTAAAGCTTTCATAAAAAATTATATTCAATCATTGGCCTAAAGTTATTGCTAAAGATTTATTGTAATATAATTATAAATATAATATATTATCAAAATTATATTTTGTTATACTAAGTTAGTTTTAAGAAAGGTATGATTAAACGAACTTGATGGTGGAAATTATGAGATTATACTTACAAAGTAAATAATAAATAAATTGTTGCTTGACGTTAAATTAAAATAATACTATGTGTTCCTTTTGCAAAATAAATTATTATAATAAATCTTATTTATTGTTTATTTGTACGTTATACAAGGACAAGCAAATAATAATAATAATAATAATAATAATAATAATAATAATAATAATAATAATAATAATAATAATAATAATAATAATATTGAGAGGGTATAAATGCGAGTCGAGTGGTCGAGAGATAAAGCAGACTTGTCGATTGACCGAGCGGGTGAGTTGTTGAGTGGTTGAACGGACAAGCAGGGGCTCGGCGAGGCGAGAGCGGATGAGTCGAGTGGTCAAGTGGTAAATGGTGAGTCGACTGGCAAGGCAGACAGAGATTCGTCGAATGGGTGAGTCAAGTCATTGATCGTAAGGTGGCAGCCCGCATTGAATGGCCGAACGCGTATGTGAGTCAAAATGGTACGTCGAGCGCTAGTGGTGCCGCAAACTATAACCGGTGTGAAAAAAAAGGAAATTTTAATAAAATCTAAACGAACTGAGCTTTTACATGAAAGAAAGCAATTTAAAGAAATAACGGGCTAGTTACGTGGAAGAAGAAATATAGTTAGAACGTCAGATTGATAGTTAGAAATGCAGAATTACTTGGTGACCTTATATATTTAGAGTTAGGAACGCTAGACTATTTTAATAAACCGCACCTTGTTTTGTCGCTCATACTAACCTAAATATGGTATTGGTCATTACACGTCATAATCTGAAATTATTTATTGTTCATCTTTCAACATTAAATGAAATCGCTCCTTAAAATTACCTGCGTATGTGTGCACAGTTTTGTTGTAATCAATCGTGATATCAGAGCCGAAACTGGTACCTTACGAGCAATTTAGTCTGATTATAACATTCAAATTCCACTTACTGTAGTATACTGTAATGAATAATTGGAGTTTTCGCTATAGTTGCTGTCAAATCAATACATTAAAGTAAAAATGTACTATATCTAAGCATATTATATATGCCTATATGAAAATGTAATATGTAATACGCCTATATATAAATATTAAAACCATTCTGACCTGATTTATTTAAATGATAAAGAAAGGAAATGATATATGATAAGAAAATCAAAATTGTATCCCTTCAATGGAATATATTATTGTATTTGGATGTTTCCAATTGATTAGGCACGCGTTCAACCTGTTGATACAAAAGGAATAATTTGAGGGTCCAAATGATCAGCCCCGGCTGGATGGACCACCCTCACAAAATATTGTTGAAATAAATAAATAAATAAATAATGGTAAAATATTTAATATACTAGTGGAGATTACCTTTCCGTTCGGATTCATTTATCCCCAGAAGAATATAAAATAACATAATATAAGACATATCTATTAGTGGCATTCATTAATATAGGTTTTAACAGGATTAAATTAACCTATGCAACCTCACGCAATATATGTAACATTCATAATTTGTAGTAATACCGTGTATATAAATAGCAGGAACGGTGTTAATATTTATGTGTCGTTAAGGCTAATTTTGAAAATAACACTTTCCCGTAAATGAAAGTAAAGTAAAGGAGAAAATTTAAAATTATTATTATATCATTCATGATACAAATATTATGTTCAGCGTAAGATAAGACACAGATAAACGCCACTTTTATTTACAACACGTCTGTTCAACCCCTCTTTCTCTCTCTCTCTCAGTAATTCTGTATTTCATGATGAAAATGATTTAAAGACATCACGACATTCTTTTTTTTTTCATTGGTTGACCAATAGTCATTTATTCAATTCGCTCCAAAAATAAATCAATATATTTCCATAAAAAAAATTAATTACAAATATACTTTCAAATTATTATAATACAAACATAATCCATTTTAAACGGTATTTATTCCAATTTGAAAATACTAATAATTTAGTATTAGGTTAATTTGAGTTGTTATCTCACTTTTTTATACTGATTAAAATATTTGACTTTTTTTTCGCTTTTGTTTTAACTTTTTTTGTTTACATACAAACAGTAGTTGACAGTGAAGGCGCCAAGGAACAGAACTCCAAATCATTTCGTCGACTTTCAAAAAGCATTTTTACAAGTTGTGAGTACAATTTTAGGCATCTAAAGGTGCTTATTTTTAACTTTTGCTTCAACTTTGATGAGACTGACCTGGGTCCAAATATATCATCCAAATAAAGATAATCATTATGGTATGCTACTTAATGATTTTTATCTATCGGTTAGGTTTAATAGACATTGTTAGGTTTGAATCGACTTTTTGACAAGTTTGAAGATTTCAGGTCAGGAATTCAGCAATATTGAAATATTTGTGATAATAACAGAACTATTAATAGAAAATTAACATTGCAAAGTACTATATTACCTACAACCAAACTATTGTCTGATAGCCGTATACAAATTAGAAGCTTAATACTTTTAAACCAGTACCAATTTGTGTAGAATAGAACGTTAGTTTTAAGAAAATGTTTGCATATTATACAAACATGGTAGAAACTATAATTCATTCATTCAATCATATGTACATTTTTTTATTTTTTCTTCTATACGGTAGTACATTATATTAGCTGTATACCAATTAGAAGCTTGATACTTTTAAACCGGTACCAATTTATGTAGAATAGAACACAACAAAATGAGATTGTACTTATAAAATAAATTGTTGCTTGACGTTAACTTCAATGTTAAGTAGTGTCAGTTTTGCGAAATAAACTATTATGATGATATCTTATTTTAATAGAAATGTTTATTTATTCGTTATACAACGACAAGCAAATAATAACAAACAAATTGAGAATAAAGGTAAAAGTCGAGTTGAGTGGTCGAGAGGTAAGGCGGAGGCAGTGAGTTGTTGAGTGGATGGGCGGAAAGTCAGGGGCTCGGCGAGAGTGGGTGAGCCGAGTGGTCGAATAGTAAGGCAGAGAATAACCGAGGGGTGAGTCAAGTGATCAAAGGTAAGGGCTGAAAAAAAATAAGCAGGAGAGCTTCGAATGGCCAATCAGATGTAAGTCGAGTGGTTCTTTAAGCGGTAGGGGTGCTGCAAACTACAACATGTGTTTCTAACTAAATGAACTGGACTATTACAAAAAAAAAAAAAAAAAAATTAAAGAAATAACGGGGTATAGTTACGTTAAAGGAAAATAAAGTAAATGTCGATAATTAGAAAAGAAAATGAACTAGCTAAATTCACGGTGAAACTTAATAAATTTAAGAACGTTGACTATTTTAAATAAAATGGAGTTTGATTTGTCCACTAAAACTAAACGCACATACTGATCTAAAAATATGGGTTCGTCATTACACGTCACAAGTTATTTATTGTTCATCTTTCGACATGAAAGGAAATCGCTCTTCAAGTTTACTTGCGTATTTGTGCACAGTTTTCTTGTAATGATGGTATCTGAGTCTAAACTCGTCCTTTATGAGTAATTTAGTATGAGTATAAATTTCAAAAATCCACATTTAATGAATAACTATAGTTTTCGCTGACATACTGTGACAATCGAAGAGTACTGTGTATATATAAAGAATACAGGAACGATAATATTTATGTGCACTCTTAATTTCGTAAATAACACTTTGTCTTTATAAATTTTAATCGGAAGCTTAATAGTTCAACTAAAAATGAGAAGATATTTCCCTTGCAAATTGGACGTAATATGTATTTTGCATATTTTGAACTTCTCGTAGCAATGTTTAGAAGTTCTGAAGTTGAACTTCTATAAATTATTGGAAACTAACCTATCTGTAATTTAATGAAAGGTGTTAAATTAAAGTTTTTACATTTCTAATTTAATTTTTACAAGTATATCTTATTTAATGATGAAAATATCCTGTTTTGCTTTAGAATAAAGAAACAGATAAACACCATTTTTAGAACACGTCTATTCAAACCCTTTATAAAGCGGCACCAATAGGCGTGCACAGCTCAAAGCGTAATATAATTGTTTTTTTTTTATTATTCAAATGTGTTCCTATAATAATTATTAATTTTATATATAAATATATTTCCTGTATATACTGAAAATCATTGATTTATTTTTAATTATTTAATCATTTTTTCCCTATAATTTTAAGTTCACATGATATTTCACATGTTGTTTCTTATTTAAATTGTATTCGCATATAACAATTAATCTTATCCATGTAATATCAACAAACGGTGGTGAAACTCAGTAGAGCGTTAGTCATAAATTCCCCTATTGCTTGAATAAAAGTCCCGTTGTGTGATACAAATATGGATAATTAATAAACATGTTCCTTGTCCTAAAATAAACTGATGAGCCACTTGTAGCGTACGATATTGAGGACGCTTTTTACATCCTTGTACTGTAGACCAAAGAATAGTCAGTACGATAGTCAACAGTACACAAGGCCTTCGTTCCGCCCCGCCAACGCTGAAAAACAATCGTTCTGACCACATGCCTTAGTACAGCCTATGTCTAAAAATAAACCTGGAAAACACAACCGCCTGTTATAAAAGAGCCAAACTTTCAGTCATACCTTCAGTGATCGATTGGACTAAGAAATTTAAAAATAAACGAGGAGATATTATATATTCAGCTCTAAACTATTACTTAAATTAGCAATTTCTGATTTCATAAGTCTAATTATGCTGAATAAAGGCAAAATGTATTCTACCTTCAACAAAAGTGTTTTATGCGCCGTATTTGTATTTCTGTCAGCAGCATATGGGAGCCCACTGTCGAGGATGAGACGCTCATCGACGTCGTCTGGCCAACAAGACGGGCCTTTCAGCAGGTGCTCCAACACATCGTCATTAACTTATCCACAACTGTATTATCCTGCGACAAATACTGTGCCTGTGCACGCGTTTGATACGGGTCTACTTTCTCAGACTAACTACAATACGGAGAGCGAGATCCCACACAAGGAATGTCCGTACGACAAGGTGCCAAGTAAGTTTAGCCTACTTGTAGTAAGGTATAGTTTTTTTTTCCCGTCAACGCAAAGGAATAGGAATGATTCTTACACATTATATCTGGTTTTACTTGTCTATTTCAACCAAAATTGATGGCCTAAGTATAACATGAAAAAGACTAATGAGGTATATCATTATTTTTACTGTCGTAGGTGGGAAAGAGTTGTACATTCTCTTGATCCGGATTTTCCAAAGATAAACCTTTTTAACATGTCTTTATTTTCCCTACAGCCGACTATAGTTTATCTGAGTCTGGTCTTTGTCCGTTTGACTTTTATGAAGACTACCAAGCTGATCGTATTCCAGCCAAAATCATGAAAGCAAGGTGCCGACCCACCTGTACCACCTGCATCGACCCTTTCTCCAACGCTCAGACGTCGACGTTGGGATGTAAAGAAGTCATGTACACAATGAAAGCCATGAGGAAAGTTGGCTGTGAGGGAAGTATGTTCCAATTTGAACAGTACGATGAAATCATTCCTGTTGCCTGTATTTGCCAAAGAACCGTGAGACCGTCGACCAACCCGGGTCCAGGTGGCCTACCACCAAATTAAACGATCGTCTACGTCTGTCCATTGTGGAGGTATTTCATTAATGAGAGATATGTATGAGTATAGCTGAAACCGAAACCTTGATTATACAGATTATATTTATATGCATAGTATTTATTTAAATGTACATACATAAATGTCATTTCTTTACTTCCTTTTTTAACTGACGATACGTGGTATAGTGTGTGTTAAATTAAACTGTGTTTTAATATTTTTAGAATATGAAAAAATAAGTATTAAATAAATAAGTATTTAATTAATAATTAATAATTATAATTACATTAAATCTTAAAACTGCATTCATTTTAGAACGCCAGTAAACCTAATTTATATTATATTTATATTGACTTATTTATATGTATATTGACGATAGTTCAATTGCGGATATATCCGTATTGTATATATTATTATGGCTCAGAAAGAGCCGAAGCTGATGGGATGCCTGTGTAGCACGTGTCAAGTGATAACGCGTAATATGTTCATGTGCATTTTTACACATGATTATTAACGCACCTAATCCCTATCGGGACATACTCGCTGTTGTAAGCAGCTTGAACATTTTTTCAAGTATCTACTATGTAGAGAATGAATTTATAGGTAACACATGACCATGTGGTCGAAGTGTGCCACCCCCCCCTTTTTTTTTTAACTAGATAAGCAAAAATTGTAACAATTTTATATCATATATATTATAATATACAATATCTTTTATATTTTAAATTTATTATTTATTCTTCTTTTAGGAATGATCTGAAATTGTACATAATTAATAATACAAAGTATAGACAATAATAGATGCAGTTACAGTAGGACTATATTTAAACTTAGGCCTGATGTTTTAGAGTTAAGACTAGCTTACGAATTATACCAAATGCATTTTACAGTATAATTATTTCATATTTTCGAATTTAATGCATATACCCCTGTCTCTTATACACATCTAGATGTGTATAAGAGACAGGAGGTATATCATTATTTTTACTGTCGTAGGTGGGAAAGAGTTGTACATTCTCTTGATCCGGATTTTCCAAAGATAAACCTTTTTAACATGTCTTTATTTTCCCTACAGCCGACTATAGTTTATCTGAGTCTGGTCTTTGTCCGTTTGACTTTTATGAAGACTACCAAGCTGATCGAATCCCAGCCAAAATTATGAAAGCAAGGTGCCGACCCACCTGTACCACATGCATCGACCCTTTCTCCAACGCTCAGACGTCGACGATGGCATGTAAAGAAGTCATGTACACAATGAAAGCCATGAAGAAAGTTGGCTGTGAGGGCATATAAATGCGAGTCGAGTGGTCGAGAGATAAAGCAGACTTGTCGATTGACCGAGCGGGTGAGTTGTTGATTGGTTGAGCGGACAAGCAGGGGCTCGGCGAGGCGAGAGCGGATGAGTCGAGTGGTCAAGTGGTAAATGGTGAGTCGACTGGCAAGGCAGACAGAGATTCGTCGAATAGCCGAGGAGGTGAGTCAAGTCATTGATCGTAAGGTGGCAGCCCGCGTTGAATGGCCGAACGCGTATGTGAGTCAAAATGGTACGTCGAGCGCTAGTGTTGCCGCAAACTATAACCGGTGTGAAAAAAAAGGAAATTTTAATAAAATCTAAACGAACTGAGCTTTTACATGAAAGAAAGCAATATAAAGAAATAACGGGGTAGTTACGTGGAAGAAGAAATATAGTTAGAACGTCAGATTGATAGTTAGAAATGCAGAATTACTTGGTGACCTTATATATTTAGAGTTAGGAACGCTAGACTATTTTAATAAACCGCACCTTGTTTTGTCGCTCATACTAACCTAAATATGGTATTGGTCATTACACGTCATAATCTGAAATTATTTATTGTTCATCTTTCAACATTAAATGAAATCGCTCCTTAAAATTACCTGTGATATCAGAGCCGAAACTGGTACCTTACGAGCAATTTAGTCTGATTATAACATTCAAATTCCACTTACTGTAGTATACTGTAATGAATAATTGGAGTTTTCGCTAAAGTTGCTGTCAAATCAATACATTAAGTAAAAATGTACTATATCTAAGCATATTATATATGCCTATATGAAAATGTAATATGTAATACGCCTATATATAAATATTAAAACCATTCTGACCTGATGTATTTAAATGATAAAGAAAGGAAATGATATATGATAAGAAAATCAAAATTGTATCCCTTCAATGGAATATATTATTGTATTTGGATGTTTCCAATTGATTAGGCACGCGTTCACCCTGTTGATACAAAAGGAATAATTTGAGGGCCCAAATGATCAGCCCCGGCTGGATGGACCACCCTCACAAAATATTGTTGAAATAAATAAATAAATAAATAATGGTAAAATATTTAATATACTAGTGGAGATTACCTTTCCTTTCGGATTCATTTATCCCCAGAAGAATAAAAAATAACATAATATAAGACATATCTATTAGTGGCATTCATTAATATAGGTTTTAACAGGATTAAATTAACCTATGCAACCTCACGCAATATATGTAACATTCATAATTTGTAGTAATACCGTGTATATAAATAGTACAGGAACGGTGTTAATAGTTATGTGTCGTTGAGGCTAATTTTGAAAATAACACTTTCCCGTAAATGAAAGTAAAGTAAAGGAGAAAATTTAAAATTATTATTATATCATTCATGATACAAATATTATGTTCAGCGTAAGATAAGACACAGATAAACGCCACTTTTATTTACAACACGTCTGTTCAACCCCTCTTTCTCTCTCTCTCTCAGTAATTCTGTATTTCATGATGGAAATGATTTAAAGACATCACGACATTCTTTTTTTTTTTCATTGGTTGACCAATAGTCATTTATTCAATTCGCTCCAAAAATAAATCAATATATTTCCATAAAAAAATTAATTACAAATATACTTTCAAATTATTATAATACAAACATAATCCATTTTAAACGGTATTTATTCCAATTTGAAAATACTAATAATTTACTATTAGGTTAATTTGAGTTGTTATCTCACTTTTTTATACTGATTAAAATATTTGACTTTTTTTTCGCTTTTGTTTTAACTGTTTTTGTTTACATACAGACAGTAGTTGACAGTGAGGGCGCCAAGGAACAGAACTCAAAATCATTTCGTCGACTTTGAAAAAGCATTTTTACAAGTTGTGAGTACAATTTTAGGCATCTAAATGTGCTTATTTTTAACTTTTGCTTCAACTTTGATGAGACTGACCTGGGTGTGAACCATTTGTCCGGGATCGTGGACCTTTTATCGGGAACCTTTGGCCCCTGTCGGAGATCCTGGACCGGCCTATTTCTACCACCGCCCACCTTAAGAATGCAGTTGTTAGTTACATCAGACCACGGAAATTTATTCGCTGAACTATCTCATGTCATTTCAAAGTTCACCAACATAATATCGTGTTATTAAAACAGTTTCAATAACAATTTCATTAATAATTTCTGAGGTCGTATCAATGTCAAAATGCCAAACTTTTCTTTCCGGTACAAATAGGGAAATTTTCAAGTGTTTCCTTATTAGGTGTAAATGGATATACAGCAGTAGACCTAGCTGTGATATATATTTACGCGCACTTAGTCTAGTTCCGTATTGTGCTTTCATATTTCCAGTGTTTCTAAATATAAAACTTATTAATATATTACATATTAACATTACCATTTATCAACGCAGAAGCATGTTAAATGTTTACAGTAGCAATATACTTATGTAAACCATGCAATAGGCATGGTCTTATCCGAAAGTATGGCTTAAACATATGCAGACAGTGCTTTAGAACGTATGCTAGCGATATTGGTTTCCAAAAGTGGGACATGTAATGACTAATAGATTCAGGAGTGACGCCAGTGTTAGCCGAGGAAGGGCCCGGTCGGGCAGATCCGTCTCCCCATCCCGCTGGAAAAAAAAACACAATTTGTCGGGGAGAAAACAACATATTGAACCTCCCCCACCCCCTAGTTGGGGACCTCAGACCACCCCACTCCGTCGGGCATGCGCCACCCCTGAATGGATTTAACTTTGTAGATATTTTGTTAAAATAATTATCATAAAATAATGGCTTAGTCACAAACAGTAATGGCTATGAGAATAATCGACTACACGAGCTAATATGAATGGCCATGGACACGAGTAAACACTAAAAAAATAATATACACAAGAGTAACGAACAAACAAGTACACGAATGAGTAAACGATCAAAGGCGTGTAAACAAACAAATTACTTTTTCAACAATGAATTCAGCAATAAAGCGCTAAAAGCCAGCTTCCTATAGCTAACTATTTTACGTTATACGGTACAGTTTGGTGTACAAAATATTATTGTGTAGAACCATAAACACGTATTTTATCGATTCCTGATGATGACATAATTAATGTCGAAATATTTAATCCCGACACGATGACGTGCATTTCGATAATTGGGGTATGTATTATACTATCTTTTCTGAGATTAATCATTGGACCTTTCGGTTATTTAGAATTTAGTATCGCAACTAAATAACGTCTGAACGACATATAATAGTGTCGTTTATATTCTTCAACACCGAGCGCATTTTTTTATCGTGTCGTTGTCGTGTCGTTATCGTGTCTAGTGTAAGTGTAGCTTTAACGTTGCTGTCAACGTTGCGTCATCGCTTTTTCTTTGTGACATACGTTTTCGAGCTATTCAGTAAAATTAAATTTTTTTGTCAGTATTTATTTATTGATATAAAAAAAAACCACTCAGATGACAACAAAGAAATGTTAAAAAATATCTGAATTTACAATATAAACGGAAGAAAAATACAAGACATCAGACGAAATAAATGTATGCCTAAACTAAAACATTAACATTAAAAAAAGATTATAAATATGACTTAGTGCAACCGCTAGAAAATGGCCGCCTGGAATTAACCATTTCACTAAGCCCCGCCCCTTGGATATTGTTGCCAAGGTCTCACAAAACGACAGTGTAAAAATATCAGGGTTGAATATAAAAATTCCTCTATGAAAAACACGTGTGTTTGCAGGACGTACGCGCGCGTATTCCATGTTATTGTTCTGATTGGTCATTGTTAAGTGTGATTGACACTCCGAAGAAGTCCACTGAATATATAGTATTGATTTTAAGTCCGACATAACTAAATATCCGTGTCATGACAAATTTAAGTTTCACATGCAAAGCGCGAAAATAATTGTGATCTCATGACACAGAGTAACATGCCTAAAAATAAACCTGGAAAAATGAAGGCTCTGTTTGCTATTATTAGGCTTAAGAGGATCCAAGTATACCATTTATTCCAGCGGCTCTAAGATTTTAAAATAATAGCAATTTCCGATTTGAACACTAAACATCTGATAATGAAGAAAGACAAAATGCATTCTACATTCAACAGTATTTTAGGCGCCGTGTTTGTATTTCTGTCAGCAACATCTTGTGGCGGGAGTCCGGTCTTGAGGACGAGGCACTCATCGATGTCGTCTGATCAACACGACGGGCCATTCAGCAGATGCTCCAACACATCGTCGTTAACTTATCCACAACTGTATTATCCTGCGACAAATACTGTTCCTGTGCATGCGTTTGATACGAGTCTACTTTCTCAAACTAACTACAATACGGAGAGCGAGATCCCACACAAAGAATGTCCGTACAAGGTGCCAAGTAAGTTGAGATTTTTTTATTGCGAAAAGTTTCACCGTTACTGAATTGAAGTAAAATAAATAGGCCTTTTGTTTACATACGAACATAATATAGGACAGGACTACTGTATTACACTAAAAAGTCCTTGGCCTATTGTTATTATTATCGTTATTGAGTTAACAGCGTAATAATTCGGGCATAAATCAATTTCGATTGAACAGTTTCCCGATAATCCCAAAAAACCAACTGTCGTACATTTATTTTCCTTACAGCTGACTATAGTTTATCTGAGTCTGGTCTTTGTCCGTTTGACTTCTATGAAGACTATCAAGCTGATCGTATTCCAGCCAAAATCATGAAAGTAAGGTGCCGACCCACTTGTACCACCTGCATCGACCCGTTCGACAACACGCAGACGTCGACGTTGGCATGTAAAGAAGTCATGTACACAATGAAAGCCATGAGGAAAGTTGGCTGTGAGGGCAGTATTGTTCAATTCGAACAGTACGATGAAATCATTCCTGTTGCCTGTATTTGCCAAAGAACTGTGAGGCCGTCGACCAACCCGGGTCCAGGTGGCCTACCACCAATGTAAATGATCGTGTTATGTCTATCATAAAGGTAATTAAGAAAATGATGCAATCTTTCATATTTCTTATCAGTTCTATAATCCGTTGATGACTAACACTGTCCCAACCAAGTTATTATTTCCGGGTCTATAATTAGAGTATTTATTGAAATGCACATAAAAACTATGCATTTTTTATAGGCCTACATGGTTTTCTTAAATGGCTAACGACCATGATACTATGTATGTTAAACATGCTATCATTGATTATAATGATCTCAATGGATATTTAAAATATTTAATTAATTAATGTCAGTGACGTATTTATAGAAGGGCGCACCCCCCCCCACAAAAAACATTACTCGCCCCCACACCTTCGCGCTCCCCATCAGCCCCTCTCCCAATTCAAGACTTCTAGATACGCCAATGATTAATGTAATATTCTTATTCTTTTTATATGAACTGTATTTAGGTCTACCTTATAACGCTAATAAGCTTACATTAATTAGATTGTTATTCAATTCATGATTGTGTTTTATATGGTTTCTTAAATTAATACATTATAACGATCATATAAGTTATATGTTAAAATAGACTATCATTAATTATATTTATATTAATGGAAATTTAAATATTTAATTTTAATTAATGTAATCGCTAATTTCTAGTTTACATATTATACTGTACATAGTTATCGTATTACGCTAATAAGCTTATATTTATATTGTTATGCCATTTATATAATAATTTGTGTTATTCTTTGAGTTATTTTAATGCGGATAAATCCTTATTGTAATATATTATTATGGCTCAAAAAGAGCCGAAGCTGATGGGATATTTGTGTGGCACACGTGTCGAGTGATACGTGTAATGTGTTTATGTGCATTAATCATTAACGCACCTAATCCCTATCGGGACATACTCGCTGTTGTAAGCAGTTTGATAATTTGTATGTATCTACTATGTAGAGAATGAATTTACAGTTAACACGTGACCAGGTGGTCCGTAGTTTTTTTTTTCGAACTTCACAAACAACAATTTTAAAATTGAAAATTATGTATTATATTATAGGTCTATTATGGTATGCTTGGTAGAATGTTAAATTTGATGCATATGTATTATATTATAGGCCTATTAAAATAGTATGCTTTGTAGAATGTTAAATTTGATGCATATATGCCGAATAATTATTTCATTCCTATATTATTATATGAGCGATCTTAAATTGTACTTAATGTAATAATAAATTATACTTAATGTATTAATAACAATAACAATAATGCATTAATAACAGTTAATACATTGACTTAGTGTAATAATAACAATTAGACTTTCATAGCACTTATATTATTTTCTGATATAAGTGTTTATGTAAACACAGACCCTGTTTTGTTTTATCGGTTTAAAGTTTATAGAAATGAATGGATGAAAGTGATGGTTAAATGTTTAATATTTATAATTTTTGGATTATTATTATTATTATTATTATTATTATTATTATTATTATTATTATTATTATTACTGTCTTTTAAATTATTATTATAACAAGAATACTAATTAGTTATTATACTTACAGTATTATAATAGGCCTATGTTCGTATTTGTATGAAAAACATGCGAAATTCAATTTTAAGTGGTGGCTGGTTTATAAAATATATTCTGTTAAGCTTAATATATTTTATCTCATCTGAATTATGTTATGCATTTTTATATAGCCAAAAAAAAAAACCCCTTTGAGTAGGTTTTTTTTTTGTTTTTTGTTTTGTTTTTTTGTTTTTTTGTTTTTTTTTAGATTCAGGCCCTAAGGGTAAATGATACGTTAGTGCACTTGCACATCAGCAAAGATAATAATTAAAAAAAACCTGAATAATGGTTGAAACAGAACGGTGGTTAAAAGAAAACCAAACAGGTAGTGATAGAATAGAAAAACACAAAAGTGAAAAGCAAACAACACAGGGGAGTGGAGGAAAATTATAGATTGTCAAATCAAGAATGAATAAGACGGCGCTTAAAGATCATTGAATTACGAGACTCTTGAACGGATTGTGGAAGTGAATTCCAGAGCTTCGGGCCAACAAATGAAAAGGACCTTTCTCCATAAGTCTTCAAATGTCAGGTAGGCACATGAAGGGTTATAGACGTAGTGGATCTTGATGTCCTTTTACATTTAGCGGAACGGAGTGCGATCAGTTCCGAGATGTAGTGAGGAGTAGAATGGCGCAAGGACCTTAATATATAAAGGAGCATTGTGAACTTAATTTGCTGGTTGATTTTAAGCCAGTGCTGTTTCGTAAGTGTGGGACTAACATGTAATATGAAAAAGGATGGAATTTCAATATTTCAAATAATCCCTGATTGACAGAATAAATAGGCTACATAAATATTTAGAATTATAGATCATTGCATATTTCCGCTCTGTGCCTGAACAACGTAGGCGCCGGGCGTTTATGGGCGAGACGGGCGATTCCATTATCGTCTTATATCCTCGAAGGGTAAGAACATTTGGGCCTATTTCTTTTTACTTTCCGTGACCTAGATCTTGACATTTTCACCCTTCCATCCCAAAATGTAATCACCTCTCATGCTTAGATCAGTATCTACCCCTTAATCAATGTTAAGACGATCCATTCATTAGTTTATGTGTCTATGCCTCCTCGGGGGCAAATACGCTATGGTCTGGCAATTAAAGATGCCGGAAGGAGTAAATCCGGTGGAGGTGCATGCTGGGTCATGTGTTATCTTAAGTACCTTATTACTGTACAAATGTCATAAAGAAATACACCACACCACACATTTCATGATAACCGAATCCATATGGATACTTTATTAATAAACATAATACAGTAAGACAGTAGGGCATAGACTTACGCTCCTATGGGAGCCTATTTTTGCATAATCCTGCTATAACAAACTTTTTGACAAACGACGGTGAATACGCGTGGCCTACATAGCGTTCAGATACTTTCAACATAAAACATCAAGCCGATGAATGCGAACTCATTGTTAACAATAGGCCTATCTCGTAAACCACGTCTAGCGAATCATCAATAGAACTAGTATTATACTGTACATACAACCAATATACTGTAATTAGCTCAGTTCAGCTAGAAGGTCATCATGGAAATATACAACAGATTAGAAAAGCGGTGCAAAAATTTCCATCGCAGAGTTTTCCGTTATTTACATATTTTTCCACTCTCAAATATAATAATGGTTAGTAGACAAATAATAATTTCAGCTCAACCATAATCGGCTTATTGAGAGTGGAAATTTTCCTCTGCGTTAAGACATTACAGGAGCTTGTATTTGTGGAGAAAGGGGAAAATAGGATCAGTGTAAACAAGTAGATAATCTTCTCATCTTGGAGAATGCAAAGAGCCAGAGTATTATTCTCCAGAACATCCTTCTTTGTGTGGCATGTGAACGACATACTTACTGGAATCAGTGCTATTCTGAAGTAGTTAGGTCTAGGCTTTAAAGTGATGCAATGTTTGAAAATAATCATGTAGCTTTAATAGACCCTGTGTCCACTTATATTTGAAACCATCAAGGCCTACCAAAGGAAGTTGAAACGATCGATACTTTCAATTATTTAAATTAATTTCCTGAATGATTTAGTTGGTTTCTTTTCCTGCTGATGATGATAAACGTTGTAATGTTTACATAGAAAGGAGGAAGTTTCGCTCTTGACAATCGATCCTGTAGTTCATTTAAGCTCTTAGCTAACCTATCATTAGTATATCTACTTGAAGATCCGTTTATGCGCCTCCAGATAACATTCTCTGGAGCTGTTTCCCCATTTTCCAAACCATATCTTAGTCACAGATTACCTATACATTTTTATATCGATGCTAATACACCAAATTTAAATACAATAGTTATTTTTTGTGTCTACAGCTCCATGGAGGACTGTAGACTCTGAGCCATCGTCTAACTTGTAACCCAACAAACAAAAAAAAAAAACGTTCTTATAACGTTCGCGAACGTTGTGTAAGTCACAAAATAACGTTCGCACAACGTCTTAAGAACGTTCAAACGTTGTGACGTTGTGAAATTAGGTTATTAGTACGTACATATGGTGCTACAAAATAGCGTTTTGATCAACAAAGCTGTACCGTTATTATAATTTTCTAATAACGTAATATTATTAGCTGGGAAGTTGTAATAGTAAATCCGGTTTGAGGAATGATGGGATGAGTCATAAGCTAAAGATAAAAATGAACAGTTTTCCAACAGAAAGCCTACGAAATATGATTCCCGTACCTAGATAAGACCTGTCCCAGAAGGAACTAAAAAGTCAGCAATCTGTTAATACTTGTACAGTTATTGAACTGAATTGCCAAAACAGAAAGCGTGGATGGGTTATGATTTAAAAGTATCCACACAAAACATATGTTAAGCTATTAAATTAGACACACGCTCCCTCTAAGAGCCTATTTAAAAAAAAAATGTCATCCTGGTTTAAAACCACACTGACCACAACAATTACGTGTTTATGAATGTTAAAATATTTACTGATATAAAAAAAAAATCACACACATCGAAAGCTAAAGAGATATGCCGAAACTTATTGAATAGTAGCACGCATTTGAGTTCTACAAGTCTACATCCACGAGTCTTTTCCCTAACCTTCGTGTGGACTCACGCAAGCATTGTTACCGGTACACATATTTGCCCAGCACGGTACTGTATTGTACGACAATTTGCCTTTGTGGTTATAGTATTTTACAAGCCATAATTAAAACCATGTTTCTTTTGTTGTGGGAAATTGAAACATAACAATAGGCGGATATAAGGAGGCTTAGGCCTACCAGAGTAAACATTTTTATATGGATTACCCTTAGAGAAAAATAGAACATACCGGAGTGTGTTGTGTACTTTCCATTGCGCGGGTCGACTGGTGATAAGTATAAAAATAGTACATGGAATAGCCTATCCTAGTTATAAATACTGTATAATGAGAAAGATAATAGAAAGACAGTTAGTTTGATGAATACGAATTTTAAAATCACAAAACCTATATGGTCTTTAATAAAAAGTTTCCGTTGCTTGAGTTGATAGATGACAAGGTGCGTATAAAAATAGCACATGGAACAGGCCACCTATATATAAATCAAGAAAGGAAAGTTGGACTGACTAATACGAAATATTTAATATTGAAAATACATCTAATCATTTTGTGATGGCAGTTTTATGTCTGACTTTTCTTATTGTAACGTTTGTAATCATCGCTGTTGCCATTGGGAGTCCGTTCTCGAGAATGAGGGAACCATCGTCTTCATCCGGCAACAATGAGGGACCGTTTAGCACTTGCTCCAACTCATCGTACTTATCTAATCCACAACTATACTATCCTCACACAAATATTATTCCCGTCCATGCGTTCGATACTAACCAGTTTATGGACGATGGTAATTACAATGTGGAAAGCAAAATCCCAGACAAAGAATGTCCATACGACCAGACTCCTAGTAAGTAGCCTACAATATCATTTCTAGTCATTAGCCAATG